CAGCGTTAGCGGGACATCATAGCGTCAAATGAAATGTCTTGACAACCGTTGGACGATTTTGTCACACTTTGTGTTTTGTGTTTGTCGGCTAATATTAGCATGCTGATATCTTAATCTCACAGAAAGAAAAAAAAAAAACGCCTTTGGATTCGTCTGATGTCCGCGATACTCGATTTTTAGAAACGAAGACGCCGACGCTCAGAGCGTCTTGTTGATCCGGTCACAATGTACCCTTCGCTGATTCGTCAGGCTCCTGTCATATGACCCCCTCGGCTACCAGCGTACAACACAACGTGTTGAATGGATCACAAGCGTAACTGACCCTGTTGTCTTTGCTTTTACAATGATGCAACCTTTTACACGCGGAGAAGACGAGAGGTCGCTGGAGCGCCCTGCGACGATTCCCCTGTCCGTTGGGAGGCGCCGGCCTTCCTGCTTACAACGGTTCATATGGTTCAAACTGATACGGAGCCCTTTAATTTCTAACCCTGACTCTTATCATGATACTGACATTAACGTTGCAGAACCTACACACACATCGCAGCTGCTCAAGTGGCTTTAGAGCTTTTATTTCTATTTCTATGTAAAAAAAAAAAAACCACACAGGTCCCGTGACTGTTTACAAGAAAAGTATTTGCTTTAAAATCTGAGCAGCTTCTGCAGCAGATGTTACGAAGCCGAGTGCTTAGTTGGTAGAAACAAAGCATTAACTGTCAGAGCGGTGAGCACGGGGAGTACGTGACACATTTGTCTGTGGTCGGTCTGTTCACGGATTCCTGCTCTGCCTCGAGGGGGCTCACTGGTTAGAGATGAAGCGCAGAGCACACGCTCACATACCGACATTATCTCATTACATGTTGGATATTAATTTAGCTGGACATCTGCTCTGCTGGATAAAGGAAACTGTTTCTTCTCCTCTGGACATTTTGATGAAAACACAAACACACAACATCTGGGCTTCACTTCCAGCTCTTTCAGTTGTTGTGTTGCTTAAATTTGATTAAGTGAAGCGGCAGCGCTCCTTTAACTTTCTGTGTTGTTCGTTAATGTGGAGTTCTGCTCATGAATACACTGATAAGTGCAACGCACACACTCTCAACAGTCCTGTCTCATGCACCGACACTGATTTCCTGGAGACTCTTAATCTGAACCCGAACCTTAACCAAAGCCTAACCCAAAGTTTACCTTAACTTTAAGCTTAACCTAAACCAAACCTAAATTTAAACCTAACTTAATGCAAACCTAGATCCACCCTAACCTAAACTTAACCTACCACCCCTCCCACACACACCCCCCCACACAGAATGATAACTTACCCAGATCTCCTTGCAGCAGGAACAATAACAACATATGCAACAGGAAGTCTCAGTACGCAGCCTCGTGCGCAGCTTTTATGAACCCGCTCACAGTTGACGGCTCCACGCGGCTCAGCAAAGATCTTTTTCATCCGTCTGGCATTCAGTGCTCATTTGACACTTCTGACACCGTCTCTCGATATTCCACTTAATATGTTTTGAAGGTCGTCCGCCTTCAGTTCTGAGAATCTTAAGAATCGAGTAACTTTCACTCTCAGAGCCGTCTGCTCTTTTGGTTTTCACGCCAGAGTCTAGGAGTCACATGTTCCGTCCACGTTTGTGCAGCGGCACGTTCTGTGAGGTTACATGGGCGCAGAGCGGCGTGATGACAAGGCGGAGCACTGTGGTTAAAAGCCCTCACTGAATAAGTCATCCAGTCACAATGCATAAATGACTGATAGCTTTGTCTGTTCAGGTTCGGAACTCGGGCCGAGAAGGACACGGAAAACAAAACCTGCCGATAGGAGTCATTATTATATTATTTATAATTAAGAGTCTGTCGCCAGGAGATCTGGTGCAGAGATATCAAGAGGTTACAGATGAGGAAAACTAGAAACTATTATTCAAGTAGATCAGAAGTGGGAGGAAGCACAACTATTAAGATGTTTGGTGAAGAAAAAGTTTCAATAATTCAAGAAAGTTTCCAGAGCGTCAATGAAAGAAGATTAAACACGTGATTTAACAGGTGAGTGTTTTCTCTCCCGTGTGCCAGTGGTGCTGGACGATTCCAAGCGCGTGGCCAAGCGGCGTCTGATCGAGGAGAACCGAGAGAAAAGGAAGCGGGAGGAGATGGTGCGGACGCTGCAGATACGACCGGAGCCCGACACGGCGGAGTGGGAGCTGATCAGGATGGCGACCGACGCCCATCGGCACACCAACGCCCAGGGATCCAGCTGGAAACAGAAGCGCAAGTTCCTGGTGAGTTTTCAGCTTTTGAGGACGGAGCGTCGTCCTGCAAGAGAAATAATCATACATGTTCGAGTCGGGGGCGGAGAGCACGTGTTTTCATCAACATTGACCTCTCACCACAAACTCCCCCATCTTTCTTCTTTCTGCGTTGACGTCTTCCTCGACTCGCTCGCACTGAATCCTCCGGAGCGTCTCCGCCTGTTTTTCATACGTTCAGAGTTCTCACGTACTCTGGAGAATGTCAGCAGATTACCCAGAGTTCAGTGCAGCTCTGAAAACTAGGCTCCACACTCTCCACGATCGGTCCTGTGAAGACAACGCCCTCTGGCTCGTCCATGAAAACATGAAAACATTTAAAAGTAATGAACGATGTCATATTTTCATTTCCAGGCGTCTCGATCTTGTTGGATCTGTCGTTCTGATCTAAATTAATTACTCGCAGTGTCCGCGCTCTCTTTCTCTTCTTTTATGTTGCTCGTTATTCCAAAGAGTTCGTCCCACACGAAGCTGAAAGTTGTTTCCACTTCGAAAATCAAGCTGCGGCATGAAAGAGAGCTCGTTCTTTTCATTTTCCAATGAAAACAGTTTTGACAGCGCTCCTTTTCATCGGCAGCTCGCTCTGTGGAGCCGCACGTGACCGCGGCCACGGGCAGATACACGTGTCGGCGGTTACCTTGAGACAGAGGTCACATGACTGTTACCAGGCAACTGTTTTCATGAAGGCAGTAAATATATTCGAATACAGTTTTTTTTTTTTTTAAGTTCTGCTAAAAAATCGCCGTGGTGACTCCAAGGTGAGCGGAGACGAGAACATGTGACAGAGTCGTCCCATGTTGCAGCGACTCCACTGGATTCCGCAGAATCAACTTTTAAATACTTTCAAAATTAAAATGACTTCACTGTCAACAACAGAACAGAGATTATCCAAAAAGTTCCTGCAAGACACCAGAGAGTTTCATGACGGCAGCCGGCAAAGTTCAGTTCTCGTCCAAAGTTGTTTTATACATTTTTGTATTCCGTGAAGTTTCCCGTCTTTTATCGTATTCGACATTTTTCCCTGTTATTAAAAAAAAACTCTCGCCGCCCGAAGCCGTTTCCTTGTCGTCTGTAGCTTTTTCAATTTGCCCTTTTGTCAGAGCAGGACAGGGATCAGCTGCGCGGCTCTAAGTGGAAACCTCTGCAATGTTGGCATCGTTCTCACAGATAATCAGATAACATCTGACCTCAGGCCTGTCGCTGCTAAATGCTTTTCACTTTCTCATCCTGCCTGTGTCTGATCACTCCGAGTACATTGATGTTATCAGCGGAGCTTAAAAAACAAAGACCTGCATTCATATTGACGCTCAACTCATTTGTCAAGTTCTGCGTCACGGCTCATCTAATAATTCAGGAATTCCTCTAATACGCCGGCCGGCTGTGTACTTCTCTGTCCACTGTCTTTCACAGACGAGTCTGCAAATAGAAAACATCTACATATTTAGATTTAGATATATTTGTATTCTACAAAGTCAAAATTCAACACGTGATTTGTTTTCTCTAGTCGGATGATATCGGTCAGGGTCCTATGGTTCCCACCTCCGATGGTGACAAAGTGGACTTGGAAGCCTTCAGCGAGTTCACCAAGATCATGACACCCGCCATAACACGCGTGGTCGACTTCGCCAAGAAACTGCCCATGTTCTCAGAGGTAGGTTCTGTGTGTGTGTGTGTGTGTGTGTATCTTAAAATGTGAATTAACTGACGACCAGCGCTCTGCAGCAGTCGGTGGGGGCGTGGCTTAACAGACCGACGGAGCTCAGCGTGGCTTCCTCGACAGCCTCAGATCGTCTCGATGACTTCACTGTTGTTTTCTTATCGGGTTGACGCACAGACTTCCTCGTGTCTGATCTCCGTCGTGACAACAACGCTCGTGGAATCATTTCCTCCTGAGTGATTTGTCTTCAGAGTAAAAGCACAACGTTTGTTTGGTTTGCTGCAGTTACTTTACATGGAGCTGAACTACAGAGGCTTTAGTTTAGAAGATGAACTCTGCTCTCTCTCCCAAGCTTGAAGTCGATAAGATGATGTGCGTACTGACGGACAGACGCTTGTGTAACTAGTCTCATGAACCCTTTTAACCAACGAACAAGAAACCCAGGTCTCTCTGTCTCTCTCTCCCTCTCCCTCCCTCTCCCCCTCTCTGTCTCTCTCTCTGTCTCTGGACGATATGATGACTCACCCCTCTCTGATGTAGCTCGGCTCTCGACACTAACAGTCTCAGAGCGAGCGTGTGCGTCTGCAGCCTCCATGTATATTGTAGAGGCCGTCGGGTTCCGTAAAGTGGAGCAGGCGACTTGTTGTGAACAGAAAATGATTTGAAGCACAGCGACAGAGTTTGAAAGGGAAGCTGAGATATCACATTTTATTATACATTGCAAAGGTGAAGTAGGTTTGTAAGAGTGAGGCAGACGAAGCTTGTCCCTTCAAATCAGAAGCAGTGAGGAAATAGTCGTTTTGTAAAAGCTCTTTTCAGAGATAAAGATTCTTCTTGTTATTTCACCTCCCGTGTTGTTGCGTCCTCTCCCAGCTGCCTTGTGAAGACCAGATCATCTTGCTGAAGGGCTGCTGCATGGAGATCATGTCGCTGCGCGCCGCCGTACGCTACGACCCAGACAGCGAGACGCTGACGCTAAACGGCGAGATGGCGGTGAAGCGCGAACAGCTGAAGAACGGCGGACTGGGCGTGGTGTCGGACGCCATCTTTGATCTGGGCAAGAGCTTGGCTCAGTTCAACCTGGACGACACGGAGGTGGCGCTGATGCAGGCCGTGCTGCTCATGAGCTCAGGTGAGGAGTCAGTCATGTTATCACAACGATGCATGATCGTCTCACTTCTGGTGTCATGAGGTCTGTTTCTCTCCTCACGTGTTTTACGGCGGAATTTTCTTCTCTCTTGAATAAAAGATGACGTCGAAATCTGAGTAAAATATTCAACTTACACATGAATAATACAAACACTGAAGTCTTTGCTGCTGAACTTGAATTCACTTCTTACCTTTACACATAATTTGGCTTTGTGTGCAGCTCTTACAAAATCTGCTCACATTTTGGACTGAGCAGTGTTTTGTATTTCACCAGAGTTGTAGAATTTCATTCATCCGCCTTTGTGGAAATCGATTGATTAGGTTTACGTGACCCAGCTTTACAACTTGTGCCGGAAAGTGGAAATTGGAAAGTGGATGGATCGATGGATCAACGAAGACACAGACAGACAGTATTTTAAAATGATATATTCGATAGAATCATGTCTGTAAAACAAAAAGCAGAACACGTGTCGGCTTTAGCTCCAGTTGCTTTCCACTACTAATCAACTAGTGAGTGGCATGTAAATCAGAAAACACAAATCTTGTAGATTACTGTGGATTATAGGTCTTTGTATAGCCACAGATCCAGCTGGGTCCAAAGTCTTGGTTTTAACAGCAGTGTGCACACCGCCACCAACTCTGCAAGCCGTAGCTCCTGGTCCTCGCTCTCTCCGCTGTAGCTCGGACGTTTGCTGCACGTCTCTGTGTTTCCCTCTTCAGGAGACGAGAATAAAAAAAAACGAGATGGAAGTGTTGCATTGAGATAACTTGAAATTCTTCCTGTGGTGTTTGTCGTCCAGACCGTTCGGGGGTCACCAGTGTGGAGAAAATCGAGCAGTGCCAGGAGGCCTACCTGCTGGCGTTCGAGCACTACATCAACTACCGCAAGCACAACATTCCCCACTTCTGGCCCAAGCTGCTGATGAAGGTGACAGACCTGCGCATGATCGGGGCGTGCCACGCCAGCCGCTTCCTCCACATGAAGGTGGAGTGTCCCAGCGAACTCTTTCCCCCGCTCTTCCTGGAGGTCTTCGAGGACCAGGAAGTGTGACGCCCCCGCCCCCCCCCCC